CCCCCCCCCAAAAAAAGAGAAAAATGTAACATTCATATTCGGTGAAATCACGATTTCGAAATTTCGCTCAGTGGATACAATGCATAATAAGTGGATCTGTGGTAACCGTAGCTTCAGGCAAGAATTGCCACATTTTGCAGTTGTGTTTTCAACCGACACTTCATTAGTCGTCGTCGTAAAAGTAAAGTTGTCCTTGTGCTTAACCAATTAAGCACTAGGCCATGAAGACGTATGCGAGAATGGATGTAAAACCCACATTTGCTTCATCTCAACACTAGTTGGAGGTGAGTGGCTAGCTTCACGTCTCGGCCGTTTTACTCCCGGGAAAGAGTCCCTGGCACCTCTGGATAGGAGGCTGGGCGGGACTCGCTCTTGTTATTATTATTATTATTATATTACATAAATAATATAAAATTGAATTATTATTATTATTATTATTTGGATGTTGTGTTAGCACACAAGTAAGAAATGTGAGTTACTGTTATTATTGTTAACGTCTGTGTATACGTACGTGATTTTTTCATCGCCACATAATGGCATAACCATTGGTAATTTACTTGTTTTATTTTCCTCGCCTGTCAATGCTAACTTTGTTATTTTCGAATTATTATTAATTTATTGCCCTTATAAAGAGTGTTGTATTTTGTTCTTTATTTATTTTTGTGTCTTTCTACGTACTCGTGATAACTTCTAATTGGCCTGTGTGCTGTTAAGTTTGCACGTAAATAAACACGAATTGAATTTAATTATTATTATTACTTATTATCATCATCATGGTTATTGGTATAATTATTACTGTAATTGCAGGAGAAGTACGACAATAACTGGTGGATCGGGCGGCTGGTGAAAGAAGGAAGTGACGTAGGTTTCATTCCATCGCCAGTAAAACTGGAAAACTTGCGCATGCAACAGACGCAAGCCCGCAACTCGAAGCTCTACGCGTCCAAGACGTCCTCCTCCAGCAATTTAGGTGGGGTTGTCAACGATGTCCTCTCCACATCTAAGGGTGCCAACTCGCGCGGATCCACCCCTCCCACCCCTGGTACGTTACTTTTATGTTCGCTGTTGTAGATTTATTTCCCGCGCTTTTTCTTAGCTGTTGAATTGGTTTGGTTGATTTTCGTGAATTTCACAACTCATCAGCTCACGTGGCAACAGTAAGGCATAAAGAACCCAGCATTAACTAATGAACAGATGGCAATATTAAGCATAAAAGCAAATGTGAACAAGTAATTTAAGAAATTAATTAAAACTTTTGCTGGATTAAAACATGAACAACACTGACTACATAGAGCCAGAATAATTGTGAGCTTTTGTATTAGTAGTAGGTAGTAGTAGGTTTTTTAGAGCAGAGTGGGTGAGTACGTGTATCATCTAGTTAACCAATGACACAAAAAGTCCTTTAAGACTGCATACATGTCGCTAACATAAATGCCAAAGTTACAACTCAGACATCTCAAACGAATCAGTCTACATCGAAAGGACGCACAGTGTATAACACACCGAAGGTAGATAGCTGACATTTCTTACTTTTTCGACTCTCTGATGTCTCAAAATATTGAGGCCCGAAACCATCCAGAAAGTATTGCCACCGTACAGAACATAAATGGTGGAAAAAGAATTACTTCCTCTCTTCACACTTAAACAACCCCTCTCACCCGAATAGGAAGTTGAAAATATGCTTTTCCCCAGTTGAAATTTCAATGTTTTTTATCTTTTACTCCTTCTCCCTTTGAACAATATACTTTCATCTCAAAAGTGCACTCTCCCACAACCTTTGAGAAGACACAAATTTACACAAGGCTTAATATACATACGAACTATAATCCTTGTGAGTAATATTTCATGAATGCATATACACCTGATGAAATGTCCTCAGAGGCGAATACTGATTACAGGAGACAGGCTAACCCAGGCTAACGTATATATATATATATATATATACGCCCAGAAAAAACGCATACGCCATATTTTATGACAATATAACGACATATATCGTGAAATATGCACACCTAATGTACCACACATCTTAGAAACTTGTCCCTGGGATCCACGGCCGGGCTTTTTTTTTTTCTCCTTGGCACTACAGCCCCAGTGGGCCTAGGCCTACCTCCATGAACTTCTCCGTTCACTTCGGTTTTCCTAGATCTTACACATTCGGTAGGACTCCTTGGGCGGGTGATCAGCTCTTCGCAAGGCCTCTACCTGTACACAAACACAGAAAAACGCACACACACAAACTAAACATCCATGCCCTGAGTGGGA